CCCCCCCCGCCTCCAGCCATTGGTCCGCTGTGTGAGGGGTTGCTCCGGATTGGCCGCTCCCCCGTGGCTCGGTGCAGCTCGCTGTGTCTGTCCGCTCAGTGCGATGAGAAGCAGTGGTCGGAGCGGAGGGGGTCCTGGCAGTGCCCGGCTCTATGGAGGCAGCTGAGGATGGTGTGCACCAGGAAAACCAAACCGCTGGTGTCCACCTGTGTCATCCTGAGCGGGATGAGTAACATCCTGTGCCTGCTCTATGTGGGCTGGGTGACCAACTACATGGCCGGCCTCTATGTGGCCCCTGACAGCACCAAACTGGAGCCCGAGGATAAGGGGGACACCCTGAGGATTATAGAGAGGCTGGAGTGGCTGGAGAGTGTCATCAACCAGCACATCCAAGGTAAGAATACTCTCTATTACACTGTGTACCTATCTATTACAAAGCATGCCTGTCTATTACCGGGGCTGTGGAATTTTATTTTTTTTAAACTACTAACGCGGGTTTCCAATCTACTTATTCCTCATGACAAGCTACTTGTCGTGATACAAAAATTGTTTTAACCAAAACCAAAATTGTTGAAAACCAAAAATTCAAAATCCATAGTGCTGTTCAGCTATATGGGGTACAGATAGTACACCCGTATATAAATAGGCAAGGAGGTCTCACCTATATCTCCTACCAAATACACTCACCCTACTGAGTGCCATTAGGGTTGTCCCAATATATGCACTCCTAAGAGTCTAAAAATTAAATAACACTCATAAATATAATAATTTGAGAGGAATGTGCGAATGGTCCACTGTTTGACAATTATAAATAGAAGAACATTTTCAGACCTTCAATACCAGTGGTACTCAAACCCACAAAAGTCTCGCCACACATGTATGAAAAATTAGCACAATTTTATTGTACTCCATAATTAAACCAAAATATAACAAACATAACATAAACCCCCCTTCATAAAAACATTTAGAAATATCCCCAGCGTGCCTGTGGAGCCACTGAGTACCATCCAGTGATTTTCTATTATTTCGAGGATGCTATATATCCTGGTACTGAAATTGCTTTCTCTAAGGATATAATTTATGTTTGCAAAAAGGGAAACTTGAAATCCTATTGGAAATGGTAAAGCAACTGATATGTATGCCAATTTGCATCGTAAAGCATATCCATTGTAGGACTAAAAATATTGTAAATGCAGGAACCAGTTACTTTCCCCTAGTGGGCATCATGTGCATGTGACTCAGAAATAGCTCCATATAGATGGCCCTGTTTAACATATATCAGTGCCCTTCAATGCTTTGATTCACACCACATCATGGATGAAAGTTCCAATGCTTACTACAGATAATGTCTTTGCTGCCTCACAAGAAAAACTCTGATTACTAGAACTGCCTCTTTTGGACAAATTGAGAGTGTTGGATCTTTGAAACTTTAGGAACCTCTGCTGAATTCCTTGTCTTCTGTCAGTTTTTTGGCTATATAGTTCCTAGAGGACAGTGCAGAGATGCTGGAACTGATTCTGTCTGTTTCTTTGCTCTGTCTAAGAGGGCTGAGGATAGCTGACTGCTGCATTGCAAGTGTTACATGATCTCAACAACAAAGTTTTTTGTGACTGCTCAGTGACTGTCTCCCAGATTTCTGAAATTACATTACTTTGCTGCAACAAAGTGCTGGCATATTCACAGATATCTGTTCAACTCATCAGGAACTAGTGTGATAAAGTGTATTGCATAGACATGAAAAGCCTGGAAGCTAAATACAGAGGATACATGCAGATAATTGCTCTACAGTAGTGTCTGCTGGTTAAAGTAAGCTAATACAGAAAATATTTTCTCCAGGGTGGAGCATCTTCAAAGGTCCACACACCTGTTGCTTCATTTAGTGTGTAGCATCTTAATGGGATATTACATCAGTTGCTACTTTGTTGCCTTGGAAATGAGTGTGTTGCTGTGCAGTAGTTCAAGGCCCTACATCTGTGAGCTCACTAACTGACACGTTTGAAACTTACATCAAAATTAGCTTAGGTAGTCAGCAGAAATCACTATATCACTCTGTTGTTGGTGTTCAAATGCAAATATTGTGATACCACTTTAAATGTTTTGCTCTTTTTGTATTAACCATTTATCTTACTTTTAGCGTGCAGCTAAATAAATTGTCATATTATTTATAATTGTCTGTCTTGGGAATATATAACTGTGTCATGGGAATTTCAGGTTGTCACTAGATTCAGGTATGAGCTGTACTTGCATGCTTGCATACATATCAAATCTAATACTTACAGTTGCTTTACAGTTACATCTATTTCCTTCTACCTTATAATGCTAATGCATTCTTCCATTGACTCTGTAGAGGTATGATAAGCCCATGAGACAGATACATGAGTTAAAATAGCAAACCAACCTTTCTTACCCAACCAGTAGTGTGGAAACTGATGCAATAGCTCCCTTTTTTTTTATATTATAGAATATCATTCTAATTGCTGCTTCATAGTTTTGTCACTGAATTCCTTCATAATTAAGCTTTGGAAATGTAGCAATGGCCGCTGTTTTAAATGCTATGTCGTATTCAGGAGAACCCAGGAAGGACCCATTTGAAAAAGAAAAGCACCACTGTAAATGCAATCACCTTGCACGGCTGCTGCCATTGTTGCCGCAGAGTGAAAGTATTGCTAATTGTCCTGCATTTTAGTTGGGTTTTAACAGCATTATGCAGCACACTGAAGGGTCAATTTGCAGAGTGAATTACTTAGCATGCACACCGTAATACAAGATGCTCGGTAATACTTGACCTCCCAGCATAATAATTGCATCTGTGAAATGCAAACCATTGAATGGAGAGTGAATGAGGACTGAACAAAACCAGAAAAATGTTCTCGATTCCCCCCTCCCTTCCCTGTGTGTTATCTTTTTTAACTAAGCGAAAATTATTCCCTATAATGGGCGCAGTCACAATTAGATGGCAGTTGCCGTGAATAAAGACATCAGGGGCGACGGATTTTTTTTATTTTTTATTACTAAATCAGACTTTCTTCAGGGACCTGCAAATTACCTTGATTTGAAATGGCGATTACGGCAACAAGGCATTCATAACGGCATTCATAACGGGGCATGGATGCCAGCTTCTTCTTAACTGCAGCAGCGTGGTCCCTGTCTCTCAGCTGATTCTGTCTATTGTAAGTTAATCCAGTTACAAAGCTACCTGTTGATTCCTTGGATACAGGAAAACATGATTTCAGAAAAAGAAAAGTTGTTCATTGCCATAATTTATTACTTATCCATACAGAAAAATTGTAACTTAGGGAACATGTTCTCTGAAGAATGAAGTAGCACTTTATTGCATTCACATTTTATTATAAATTAGTAGTAAGTTTAAAGTAGCTGTAAGACCCTAAATCTTTTTTGTTGTTAATTTCTTGCAGCCTCTTTGCAGTGTGTTGAAACAACCACTTGTGGTGTCCAGCAGACGTCTCTGTCACAGGGTGACAATGCAGGAGCATATTTTGGAAACATGGAGTTGTCACCCTATAACAGGAAGTGCCTGAACAGGGACCTTCATAGCAGGATCACCAAGTATTCTTTCAATGAAAGCTGAAGATTTACATACAGTAAACATTTTCAGAAAATTGCTTTTGAAATTACACTAATATATTAAAGCTTATAAGAGATATCACTGATTAGATCTACATCTACTGTGCACTCAATTCACTAGGATGAATAAGTTATTTTATACTTGCCATTTTATCGCATTATCATTTTTACCAACTAATAACAGGGGTGTGGAATTCGTATCGCCCAACGCCCGGTACATGTAGTTCCGGGCACCGGGCAAGTGGTTTTTAGTAGCAGGGCTGGTTTTCTTTTCTTAAATGTGCGCCGGGGAGCGTGTAGTGCCGAGAGCGGGGACGGTAGCGGGGGGCGTAGAGTAGTGATGGAGCAGTGACAGGCTCTGTCGCCTCCCTTAGCCTCTGTCCCTCTGTCCCTGGCAGCCGCTGCTCGTTCCTGTCTCAGGAGTTCTAGCACAGTGCTGTGTTGGAGGTGACAGGGTGTAACGGCCGCAGGGGATCCGGATCGCGGCGTCTGCGTTCCACCCTGGAACGTGGCGCCGGGAGGAGACTCTCTATTTGGGAAAATGGAATTACCCACACAAATCTCCCTCCCACTATACTTACCTTTCGGCGAACCTGTACCTGTTCCATGTATTCTGAATTTCGCTCGCAAATTGCAAGCACTGGTTGGTCAACGCGGTCACCTGACGGCACTGACCAATGAGAAGCGCTTCTTAGCACTGCTAAATACGGTTTTGGTTAAAATAAAAAAATTTGTATCAGGACAAGTAGATTGTCATGACGGACAACTAGATTCGGCCCCCGCTTTAGTCCGTGGACAAGTAGTTTTTTCAAAAATGTTCACACCCCTGTAATAAGCATAATTTTTATCATTTTAACCAACTAATAAGCATAATTTTTTATCATTTTTACCAACTAAGCAGCATAATTTTTTTGGGCGTGGATTTTGGTTTCTGTATAAAATGGCCATGTAACCAATAAAAGTCTGATTCAATTATTATTACGCTTCTTCACAACATGAATCAATGTTTTAAGAAGCACCAACCTCTGTAATAAACTTTGTAAATCTTAAAAATTATAAAATAATGTGTGCTGTAAATATATCTAATTCATGTTGTAATCTGAACTCTGGAAACTGTGAAACAAGGCAAGCAGAGGACAACAGACTAGTTAGCTATATTTCCTGCAGTCTCCCTGTAGCCAATCTGTTCCCCATTTCTCGCTTACCATGTATTGTTCTTCCCTGTGGGAAATGCATAGGCAACGCTCTTACCCTTGGATACTAATATTAATTGAAGTGATATTTGTGTAAAGTGTCTGTATTGGAAATGTAACAGCATATTACTGATATTCTGATATGTACTGATTGTATTGCTGATGTTCAGAGATATAGTATTGTCTTTTGGGCGCTAGATGGCGCTGGGGTGCACTGTTGGTCTCTATGCTTATATATGGTATGCTTGTCTGAGATACACAGGAAGTTCTATCTGTATATATGTTTTCTTCTCTGCTATGCTGTATTCCTGTTGGGATGTTCAGATACCAATTACCGTACTCAGTACAAGTACAGATAATTTTCCAGCTCCAAGACTGGACTAGAGAAAAATTCAAAAGTTAGGTGGCAGCTGTCATTTTTAAGGAGCATACGGAGCTCCTGGGATTTGTGCATCCCTGTTTTAATGTATGATTTTTTAAAAATAAATATATATAAGGGATGCACCAATACCATTTTTTCAAGTACAAGTACTGATACTTGTCCAAAAACTCACATATACAAGTAATGATACACTTTTGTTTATTGTCATGTGATATTTTTTGTAAAACAATACAG